ACCTCCTGCACCATCTAAACAAAAAGCACCATTGCCTCCATTAAAAAGGAAGAAAATCCATGCCATTTTAGTGCAGAACTAGTGATTCTTTTAAAATTTCTATAACATGACACTAGTGCTTGTAGAAGATACACTTTTACTGCATTGTCAGCGTGTTTGGGATCATTGGTCATGCTGACAAATTTTTTGTAGAATCAACTAAACAAGTGTAACTTGTTCTAGTAACAAAGTGCCTAAAGATACTATTTAAAATTGTTATACAAAACAACTTAGTAGAATAAACAACACTGGTTCTTCTCCAGCCTTAGGTTCCTCTTTTTTTTCCCCCCATTCCTAAATGATTTGTGTCAGTGTTAAGAGACTTATAAAGCAAAAACAAAAAATATCATTTCTCTGAAAATCATCAGGTACAAGGACTGGACTGAGAATGAGGGGGGGAGCAGTCAATGTCCAAAGAAAAACTTAAAGACCTGGAGCACTATTGCTCTTTAAAAACATAAATGGCAGCTCAAGACTTATACAGGATTCATTGATCTTGTAAAATTACTAAATAATGAATAGCAGCAGTGATCCAGTCCACATATCCTCCTCTCAAGGTCAATTAAAGGCATGCATAAACACCAACAAGTGGCCCTATATGGCAGTGTGAAGCAGTGGGTGCACACTTTACCATTCAATATTTAACCCTTTAAGACCTACCATAGAACCAAGTCCGCCAGAGCTTATATTATATTTTTACATGCTGTGGAGCCATTTTTGGGAGCATTTCAAGTTGCTATACATCAATACAACCATTATAGCCCAGATTTTAATAATATGTATTCATTAAGTGCATAGTAATTACATAAATTGCAAAAAAGTGCAATAAACTACAAAAAAATTGAAAATCGTTTTTGATTTTTTCATATATTTGTAGTTAGAGAAATTTAAGAGGCTTATCCCTCAAAACTGTAAATACAAAAAAGTTGCACAAAATAGTTTCCCACCACAGGAAATTTATTTTGAGTGTCTTCATAGTTTTATTTTTGAAATACACCAATTTTTATACACTGCAGGAAAAATGAAAATAAATATTATACTGCAAATTTGCAAAAAAGCAGCATATGCATCAAAATAAACTATTTCCAGCAGTGCAATATGAGTCCTAAGAATCCCAGAAACGACACAGAAAGTCATAAAGTCAAAGATAACTTTTAAAAAGAGCAGTATAGGCCCTGAGGCCCTGATCGCAAAAAAGACTACATTTCGGGCAGGTAATGGCGGAAATGCAAAAGTTCGCGCTGACGTCTATTCCAACGTAGGAAGTGTTTTGAACAGCTGATCAGATCGGTAAAGCGTGTTTCTGGAATATTATGTTTTTGTTCCTGCAAGCGCTTTTTATGCAGTTTTTGCAAAGCTTTATGTGGAAGGAAACCGTGACCTAGGACACGCTGATGGCATCAGATGTAAGTACAACTCCTCCGGTTTCATATGCAAAAAAAATTTTTGCGCTAGCTTACGTGGTTGCAGTGCTACTGGGATTTAAAAATAGTTACGCATAACAGAGCGTTCCAGCTCCGATCGGCTCTAAAGGGTTAATATAAAAAAGTGAAGTTTTATTAACGGACTTCCCTTTTGCCCTTCTGGTTTTACTCTTAGTAGTATGAGACCAAGCTGTCTCTTGCACCAAGCAGTCACATTATCAACACTGGTTTATTTTAAAAAAGGGAAAAAAAAAAAAATCCCCGTTCTGGTATAAAAATGCTGAGAGTTACTTGCCTGTCACGCACTGCTCGTCCAGCTGGTTAAAAGTGAGGCTCAAGAATAAAGTTAGCACGGGTTAAAACAGCCGCAGACTTCAATGAACTTTAGTAACCTCAAGAGTCGTACGAGATCTGTACGCAGGTCAACTCTGAGCCAGCTGGCGCATACGACGTAAAGCGTGACAGAGCGGGGGTGCAATATAGCAACATTTAACTACGAAAAATGAACCCAGTCATAGTTTACCATGAACTCTAGCATATCATACCTTAGTGTCAAAGTGTTGCAGCCCAACCTACTGTATCTGAATGCAAATGCTTAAGATGTCTGTATGCACCAAATGCGGCATGCCTGGGCTGATAGATTCTCAGAGACCAACTAGCCAGCAGGTCCCTTCAATCCTACCACTGACACGGCTTATCTTTTGTCACACATGGCTCGGCTGCGGCCGTTAAGCTAGCTGCTCTGTGAAGTCAAAGTTGCAGGCACACACACACACACACTTCCCTCAGAAGAAGACGACATTAAAGAAAAAGCCACCCCAACTGTCTTAGCTACTGCCAATAGAGATAGTAAATGTGTGAACACTGGTTCGACTAAATGAGCCGAGCGGCACAGGAAAGACAGGTGCTAACGGTACAAGCTAGCATGCTATATAAGCAACATCCACACAGCGAGGCTAAAAAATGTTTTCTGGCGACAGGATGGCGTCTATTAGATTGACTCTTTAGCTGCTAATCCCTGCCAACTTTTCCCCCATCCTTTGTTAATAGGTACCCGTTATTATCTTAGGCTAGTTAGCCAGTTCTCGTTAGCAGCCAGTGTCAGCCTTACCTGAAGATTATTCGCTGGGGACTCGGTGGGTTTAGTTACACTTTTTCGCCGCTTTCTGGCCTTCTGGGGGCGTAAAATGAGCCTGTCAACAAACGTTGCCCTACTCCGTCGGTTTCCAGAGACGCAATAAAAATGACTTGAGGCAATAGGATTTGCAGGAGCTCTATTGTTTGTCGGTTAAAGCCCCACATTTCCTCCAAACCCATCTGAAGGTGGCCTGTCCTACATCCGGTCCAGCCCCTCATTCATTTTCACAGAGATGCACAAAAATACACAAAAACATGCACAGACGTACTGCAGCGCACTCCCGCCGCCGCTGCAAGTTTGGTTACAGGTAAGAGCAGATAAAGGCATATAATGTCTGTTTTTATTGATTTTTTGCTACCATTTGCAAATATATGTTTACTCCATACAGCGCAGCAGACTAGTGCAGCGATTTCTTGGCCAATCAAATTTAGGTTTTACCCCCTTAAATTTTCTGTTTCGGGAAGAAAACCTGAATCTTCAGTTTAAAAAAAATGATATCATAATGTAACATCAAAATAAAAGAAAGTCACTGTTTTTAAACTAGTTGGTTTTTTTTTTTTTTAACATGACTACTATTACTAACTGCCTACATTATTACATATCAGCCCTATACTCTCAGTACATCTTAGTCGACTTTACAATTTTGTCCCATATCTAGCTTTTCTACACCTTTTATCTAAAATTCTACCATTTTCTTGGCCTTGCATTCAAAATACTACATGAAGCATTTTATTCACGTACAGATTCCCGCTTTGCAGTGTCATGTCACTGGTTTTTTTCATTTCCTCAGCAAGTGTGCATGCTCGATTAACTTTAAGCCTCTTTAGCCCTCTGCTGGTGCATACCCATACCTGCAGCTACTCCGCACTTCTGTGGGAATCTAAACCTTCTGTCTCAGTCATATCTGGAATATTATTTTCTTATTTTTAATTTTTCAGATTAATTTCAGTGTAAGTGTGCTCATAGCTGTTAAGTATTTTACAGTCATAGCTTCAGCATTAGTTTTAACTGTGGGGTCTTTGTCAGGACAAGCTTAATAAACACATGCACCAGAGTCCTTGTTGCATTGATAAAATGAATCAAATTCATCTACAAGCTGCCTTCTGTTGCATTTATGCCAGCTTCCCAAAAATGGTTATCACAGCTTGTTTTAGCCAGCTTTAGTCTGTACTTTCTCATTTCTCTAGTGTATACTGGCCCCGAATAAGAACTCCTTTTCTTTGTTGCTGTGATCAGGTTACAGACATGTTGGCCTGTCTGGTTATCTGGGCTAATGCTGGCTATTCATACTGTGGATTAGTGACAAAATACAGCCCTGTCACCCAGCCCTAATCACACAATATAGTAAGCACCTGCCAAGACGTGCTGACATCTTTGTCTTTGTTCTTCCTTTCATATTCCCTTATTTCTTTTCATATTAAAATGTGTTCTCATTGAAGCACATGGATAAGATCCAGTTCAACTGTGGTACCTGATTTAAGCTGGTGAGCAATTACCTCTCCACAATGGCTCCAGTGTCCTCCTTTACTTAGACTTAACAGAGAAAAACTACACTCACTGGCCACTTCATCAGGTACGTCTGTTTAATTGGTCATTAACATTAATAAGAAATCAGCCATTCAAATGGCACCTGCTTAATGCATTTAGCCATGTTAAAATGATCAAGACGACCTGCTGAAGTTCAGACTCGGCATCAGAAGGGGGACGAAAGGGTTTTAAGTGATTTTGAGCATAGCACAGTTGTTGGTTCCGGATGGGCTGGTCTAAGGATTTCAGAATATACTGATCTGCTGAGATTTACCGAAACAACCATCTCCAGAGTTCACAGAATGGTCTGAAAAATGAGTGGTTGTTCCCTGAGCTATAATATAATGCTTTGACTGCTTCGAGCTGATAGGAAGACAACAGTAAGTCAAATAACTACTCACTACAACAAAGGTATGAATGTAGAACATGTCCAACTTTAAAGCAGAAGGGCTACAGCAGCAGAAGACCACACCTCTCCTGTCAGCCAGTTCACACAGGCTCATTAAAACTGGACAAGACTAGAAAAAAAGTTGCCTGTTATGACAAGTCTTGATTTTCAACATTCAGATGGTCAAAATTTGTCAAAAACAAGATGAAAACACAGATCCTGGCTTCTATCACCTGCTTAGTCTGAGGGTGGTGGAGTACTTCAGCATCGTTCAAACACCACAGCCTACCTGAGTGTTGTTGCTGAGCATGTCCAGTCCTTTGTGACCATCTTCTGGCTGCATGTTACAAATCAAATCATTTCAAACTGGTTTCTTGAACACGACAGGGAGCTCACTTTACAGTAACCAGATCTCAGTTCTCTTAGAACACTTATCTTGAAACCCAACAGACAAAAAAATAAATTAACACAAATGAAATGACAATTTCAATAAAAATATTATTATTATTTTAATTGTTTATGTATTGCTCTATAACAGAGCAGCAGCTCAAGGTTTGGCACTTGACTTTCTAACATTATGTGCGAGAATCAGATATAAGCACACAAAAACATTCACAACCACTGTTTTGCTTTCCTAACCTTGTTAAGGCTACAGTATAACGTGGTCTCTCATAGACGCTCCTCTAGAGATATGACAACAGTCATAAAAGAAAACAGTGACCATTAGTAAATATATTAAAGATCATCTGTGCAAATACCTCAATTTGAGATGCTTAAGACATGAATCTACCATGTTACACACCTGCAAGAAAGCATTGCGTAATTAAAAAAAAGGACGTCAAAACGTCATTTTTAGGAAAATTGATTAAAAGAACATTTTTGACATCAGCTATTACGATTATCGTTAAAGTTGCAAGTTTTCTAAAATAGAGTTGGAATAAAATGAGAACAAGACTACAACCTACTGAAACACATTTCAGCACTTATCCACTCGATCTATAAGGTGGCAACACTTGTCTTGAAATGAAGTGCATTTTAAGCACATTGCATGCATTCTTAACAGTTAAAAATAATTTTATAGTGGATTAACCCAGCGTGTTTTAATGTTATCACAGAGTCTACTGATGTTCTAGTCTCAAAACAAGAAGACGAATGGCCATGCATGTAACGCTGGTTTTGTGCGTTTTCTGTTCAGCTTAATAAATTATTTTCACAAATGATTCTTTAATATAAACACGAGCCCCTTTCAGACATGCACGTCTTTCGATTAATCTGCTGCAATCGCTTCATGGCTAAACACAAATCTGTATCCCATTATCGATTCCATTTCTATAGCTTCCTGCATTTTGCCTATTTTAATATTGGTTGTTGTCACTTGTTGCACTTTTTACTTATATGAAGAAATTTGGGGTGAGGGCAAAGCTATTAAAACAGACTTTTTCTCCTCAATATTGCCAGTTGATCAAAGAAAGTCATTGGGTTTCTCTGTATAATTCTGAGGGTCTAATCGGTACAATACAGAGTGCTTTGCAGCAGTTACCTTTACAAATCGCTTTGAACTTGGCATAGTTATGAAGGTTTGCAGTCACATTAATGGACAGGTTTGTTAGACCAGAACTGTGCATGCCTCTCGTGCATCTCAGTGGGTCTCTCAACTCACCAGAGGATGACATAAAAAGCAGCCATTTTAATCAACCATTTTAAATTTGTTATGAGATTAAAACATTTCCACATGATGCATTTTTGCTATGCCAGAAGAGAGATCTCTTTCATGTCTAAGAGGGGCAGCGTGAAGCCTTCTCACCAGACCCACAAATATCGTGTTTGTAGCGTAGCTGTGTTTGTCACAGTCCCGAGTATGTCTGAATTCAATTGTTAGTGACATTAACTTAAAATTAACCCATGCCAGAATGCCACAATGCAATCAGCCGAGAGGCTGATGAAGCCAGTAATGTTTCGCATCCCGTGTCTGGAAAGGGTTCAAAACTGCCTGATGTGTTGTTTTTGTTCTGAATCAAGGGCAGATGTTGCCTTTGCTAGCCACAGAACAGACACTTATGGCAGTTATTTCAGTGTCTGTGAGCAGAACAAACAGAAATCCTGCTGACCACTCACGAAAAAATTAAAAACAGTAGTAACGCCCCCCCCCCAGTGATTCTGTAAGGCAGAGACACGTGACAGTCTTTGATGTGAAAATCCTATGTTTGTCTGGCGGACTGCCCAGATTTCTACCAGCTTAAAGTGAAAAGTTCACAGAGAACATTACAGTCTTCACTGTGAAGACTTTTGTAAAACCTTGGCTTCCACTACAATGGCAGGATTCTCGATGTCTGCTTTGCTCTGAACCATCCTCAGCTCCAGTTGTGCAGGGGTAGGCCTTTTCCCGGGGCCAGCCATTTCTGAAAAAGAGGGAGACATTTAAGGGAAACAAACAGGTTTTTGCCCTGTGGTGAACTAAACAAACAAGAACTCAAAGGATAGGTTATACACAGTCACAAAGCTATTTGTTTCAAAATATAAAAAGCTTTTACTAAATATAAACAACAGAAGCAAAAAGTGCCCCAGTAAACAACTTGAAGACAAAGTAAAAAAACCTGATGACAAACTGAAGTCACTGGATACACGCACAAACCCTACCATTGGCATAAGTAATGGTCCTCTTAATGACATGGTGCATGACAGAAACAGTCTTCTCACAGGCAGTCTGTTAAAAAGGAAGATTAGTTTAGCTATGATTCATATATTATCTGCATTTGACTGAAAACACTTATGTGTTGCTGACCTTCAGGTCCTTGGGGTGTTGATGAGTCCAGGCTAACATCAGGGCAGCAAAAAGGTCTCCTGTTCCCACAAATACAGCATCGACTTTGGGGATATCCATGCAGATTTTCTGATCTGTGTTGGTCCCATCTGGTTTCTCTGCAGTGACGAGGACAAACGGAGCTGTTATCCTAATTTTATAGGTTACTCTGTTGATCCTACACGAGGACTGCATCCCCACAGGGGCAGGGATAGCTCAGTAGGTAAAGTATCGCCCCATGATCGGAAGGTCGGCGGTTCGAATCCACTTAACGGCTACCCTGAGGTACCCCTGAGCAAGGTACCGTCCCTACACACTGCTCCCCGGGCGCCTGCTTAGTGGGCTGCCCACTGCTTCACAGAGTGAATGGGTCAAATGCAGAGAAAAACAAGTAATTTCCCCATGGGGATCAATAAAGTATCCATTATTATTATTATTATTATTATTATTTATAGCCATTTTGACAAAGTCAGCCTGATACTTTACTTATTTTTTGGCTTCCAAGAGCCACCAGGAACTGGTCCCCTTGTTTTGATGGAAGGTCTGTACTAGTGAGGACCACGGTCTCTGGACCCATTTTATGAAGCAGGTCCATCACCTGCAGAACAGATAAAAATCCCATTTTCTCAAACTTTGTCATTCGTGATGCCACAAATTAAATCTAAACACAGCCAAACAAAATATTTCTGATATTCACCTCAATAGCATCTTCCTCAGTGTTAATTTTCCTCCCAGTTAAGAGCCTATGAAAAATAATGTCACAAAAAAGCAACAATGCTTGCCATTTTGCATCTTTTAATTAGTTTTTACAGCGTATTTTTAAGCTTCTGTAAAAATAAAAAAAATAAAAAAAGATCATTATTCTTTTATTCTTCGATGTAAAAACTGTTTAAAATGCACTCACTCTGCTTCAAACTGGTTGGGAGTCAGGATGTCAGCCAAAGGCACTACTTTGTTCTTGTAGACTGGCAGCAGGTTCTCTGGAACATACTGAGCAAGCAACAACAACAAAATACATAAATCTGATTTCCCAACCTGTCTACAAGTAACAAATGGAAATTGTTATACAGTCCAAAATGACTAAACAAATCCTACACTGTAATTCAAGAGTGCGCTGAAGAGCACAAAAAGAACATGACACTGTTCATTAAACTGTCAGCAGCTGGATGTGTGTGGATAACTGCTTACCATAGCACCCTGGTCTCCCATAACAGGATCACAAACTGGAAAGAAGAAATTTTAAAAATGAGGCTTAAAAAAAAAGTTCACTTTTTAAAATGGAAAATCCAATCTGACACTCACCGTACACCAAGCTGGGATTGGCCTTCTTCAGCTCCTTAATAATATCAACCACTGTCACCAGGAAGGAGATGTCCCTGCTGTATCCTTTGGGAAGAAATTTTGGGTTAACCTGAACTGCAGCATTGCCACACACACACACACACACAATTTCTAGTTTCTGAGCTTCCTAAAGTTTGGTATGAGATTTTTGGACCTCGGTCACACAGACAACAACCACTGGTCATAAGGTAAAAATGTGTTGTTGGTGACACCTGCTGTGTAACTGAACTGTAAGCTGATCTAAAGTTCCAGTAATGAAGGCCAAAGACCAAGTCTGTACTAATGAGGACCGCAGTCTCTGGAACCATTTTATGAAGCAAGTGCATCACCTGGAGAATAGAAAAAAAAAATCAAATTTTCTGAAGCTTTGTTAATCCTGATGACAAAATTAAATACAAGTGCAGCAAAATGTGAAAGTGAATCCAAATTTTTTCTGATATTCACCTCAGCAGAATCTACCTCTTTCTGGTGACTGCCAGGCACTAGAGAAAACTCGCATCCGGGTTGGCAAGTGATTGCTGGAGGTTGCTAGTGCAAAATTGGTCACAAAAAGGTATATGCTGTTGCACCAAAAAGGTGCTTTGATCGCTAGTAGACTGCTGTAGTTGCTAATAGCTTGCTTGGACGTCTGTAGTTTTCGCTATGACTGAATGCAAATGGGAAGTATTTGCAGACAAGACAGCATTTTTCCATGCAAACAGTGGGTGACCATGGCAATCTTCTAGCAACCAAAGCAATCACAAGGAGGCTCCTGGTACAGCACCCTCTCTGACCCCTCAGTGATAAAGCCTACCTCCATCAGGTGTGTTGTAACGTAATGTCCCACCCAGCCTTATCAGATCAATGCCGCCCACATTAAACTTATACTAATAAAATAATACTGAAAGGAGACACTCCTTAAACTCACCTGTGAGGATGTAGTCATAATGGTTCACATTGTTGAGCTTAATACCCTCATAGAGCACATTCAGTTCTTCTGCTGTCAGTACTTGCCCCTTCCAGTGGCCGTAGCCTGGGCAGAGATAAAAAATAAATAAATAAAACTGATGAAATTTTTCCATTGCTAAATCTGATCTGATTTGGTTAACTCTCTTATTTCAAGGATGTTTTGTGTTAAAGTCTAAAACCATGATTTTAGACCTTTTGAGGATAAATGAGGAAGGAGGACACACATTTGCACTACTTAACCTAATAGAAGGGCTCATATATTGCATTAGCCCTACTGTGCATAAATCAACTTAGCAGACATTGCCATCCTTTCTCTGTTTTTCCATCGACCTAATTCCCTCTGCTGAGGTCCCTCTCCCCTTTGTACTTAGCAGGGCCTCCGCAGCTACTGAATGGAAAGCTTGTATCCTGGCTGCCAGCTCGCCTTTCTTTGTCCCTCTTTCACTATTAAACTAGAATAAACCCTAAAAGCTGTTCTGACTACAAATGACTGCACACAAAATGGACACACAAACACTCCTGTATACCAGAGGAAAAAATATAAGAGCTCACACAGAGCCCAAACTTGAACACGAGCCAGCGAGTTAGCCTCCTGCAGAGAGGACTTAACAGAAAGCTCACAGCAAAGCAGCAGTTTGTGCTGTGGTTGGGGGCGCTTCCACTGAAACTGGAACATTTCAGAATTTTAATCTTTAAACATACCGGAAATAAGATGAAGGGTCACATTCAAAGTATGATCGAATGTTCAAAACTCATCAGCTTCCCATTTGTATTGGTTCAAGTGATTTCTGTGTAGGCCTCCTGCTCCTGCAGAGAAAAGCGCATTCTTTGCATACTTCAACACATGAACCCCAACTAATAATCCCATCATCTCAGCAGGTGTGTTGATTAGGGGGGAGAAATGCCAACAAACTAAATGTGGGGCAAAGGTTATATCTGTATGGGGTAATTTACTAATGCTGAGGTGTAAACTGAAACCTTGAGAAATTTCACAAACAAAAAAACAAAAAAAACAAAAAAAAAAGTCATGTAGGTTACAGGTTTTGCAACTACTCTGGCTTGTTGTGATAGGATGCAACTGTCATCATAGGCTCATGTATCATATCTGTCCAAACTGTCTTCCGTCTCCTCCTGAGCCACATGATTCATGTGGAGAGTCACATGTGCCCTGTTTAACTTGCTTTATCCCTCATCGTTTTCCCTTCATGCATAATTGAAAATTAACTTGCATAACCTCTCTGAGCATCGGCTTCCACCAGTAACACACATTTCCTGCTCTTTTCCAGCATTTTCATTTCTTTGTGATAGCTTTCACTGTAATCTGCTGAAGTCTGCACAGCTTGTGACTTTATGGCTACTCCTGGTTCAGTGCATCTTAGGCAGCAAAAAATTGTGACAGGTTTTGCTGCTTTCTTAACAGCTAAGTGTTTGTCCTGCAGTGCTGACTTTAAAAAAAAAAAAAAAAAAAGTAACTCTAGCCTTGAGCCCACTAGTGTAACTGCCATATTTCTTTTCTTAATGACATTTTCACTGTCTAATTGTGTGACTATTGCACAATATACTTGTGAGAACATGCATGTATTCACAAATAGATTTTTTTTTTTTTAAAGGTAAATGAAAAGACAGTGGTTGGGGAAAAAAAAAAAAAAAAAAAAAAAAAACCCACACCAGTTGCTTAAGAATCACTCGCTTGAAGTAATCTCCAAGATCAGTAGCGATTGCAAGCAAGTAAACATTGACTTGGGATGCCTGTGGCTCAGGAGGAAAAGTGGGTCATCCACTAATTGGAGGGTTAAAGGTTTGATCATTGGCTGCTTCAGTCTGCATGCCAAAGTATCCTTGGGCAAGATACCGAACCCCAAGTTGGTCTGATGCATCCACCAGAGTGCCAGTGTTTCACAAAAAATACTTAAGTGTATGAGTCAGCCATGTCATATAAAGTGCTTTGAGTGCTCCGGTAGAAAAGTGCTCAATAAGAATCAGTCCATTTACTTTCCATTGCTGAGATTTCTACCATAGCATCAGGAATGCTCACATTTTTTGCTTTGGGGTCAAACAAGTAAAAACCATTATAATCTGTCAATCAAAAATATTTTTCAAATTGATTTTTTATTTCATCCAGCTGCTTAGAGGAGTCTTTGAAGACTCCACAGATACTATTTGAACAACAATACATCCTGATCTTTAGACAGTATCTCGAGATACAAAATATAAAGAAATTAGGGGTAAGGAAAATGAGATGTGGGTATTGAAATGTGCAAACATCCATGGAAATACAATATAGAAGGCAAAAAACAGAGTCTGTACAATTCTAACGAGCTTGAAAATCAGTCAATCACAGTTTGAATGCTCTTAGGCAACTTTCTTGTAATTTAACTAGTCTTCAGGAATAGTCTTCCAAGCGTCTTGAAGGACATTCAAAGCTCTTCTTTGGAGGTTTACTTGCTTTTGTTCTGAATTTTCATTCATCACACCATAAGACTCATTGCCACTGATCTTCAGTCTAGTTATTGGGTAATTTGGCAATTTGACAGCGACCATTGAGACCATTTCTGACGAGGCTTCGGTGAAGAGTACACGGATCAACTGAAGGTCCAGATGAATCTCTCGGGTCCTGTGTCAGGTTTTTTCCTGGGTGTTTTTTTATTTTTTAAGGCCATGGCTTTCAGATACTGTTCAGCTTTTTTGTTTTTCCAAGACCTGCAAGTTCTCAGATTTTTAAGGACATACTTTTCCTGTTGAACAGGAGTTTTTCCTTCCCACTGTCACCAAGTGCTTGCTCATACGGGGTTGTCTGATTGTTGGTGTTACAATATAAAGTGACTTGATGAGACTGTTGATATGAACTAGCGCTAAATAAAAACAAAAATAATTGAATTAATATGTTCATCTCTTTATCTGTTTATTAAGTGGCTGAACAGACAAAACGGTCTGAAAATGGTCAGGTACACGGAATGAACATAAGTGAAAAACAGCCAGTGCCCTTTGAAAAACTTTTAAAAACTTCTTAAGAAACTTTAAAGAACTGCTGCTCAAAACCTATTTGTCAAAAAAATGACAAGAAAGTCCGGCTCCTTCGAAGCAAAATATAAAGAAAAGAGAGTGTGCCTCAAGACATTTCCACAGTACTGCAAATGATATTAGCAGAACATATTTCTGGTTTAATATATAAGGGATACAGACTGGGGCTACCAGATATTAAGCCAATACAATGATTAGCTTTCTGGGAGAGTCCTGGTAGAAGTAAGGCCTGTGGGCAGTTATTTTGAACCTGCTCTCTAACTGAACAGTGGGAGAGACAGAAGACATTTTAAAGGTTTTCTGTTTTTGTCCCAAAATAAGGTTGAAAAGTTTCACCTGTGCACACTGTAAGTTGCACAACATTATAGCTTCACAAACGGCTTGTTGTTGAGTGCGAACTAGACTGAGAAGCACCATGTTTATTTACATGATGGATACAGTAATCCAAGAAAAACAATAAGTAAAAGATATGCCAGCCGTTAAAACTGCTGTGAATCTCTACAGTCTGCATTCACCAACATGTTCCCTGTTAGGACTGTCAATCAAGCCTCTTTGGCGAGAGGAGTGAAACAACCATCGTCTTTGCCTTTGTGAAATTCTCCCACAGACGTCTATTCAGGACTCAGAGTGCTGTGTGTCTCCTTTGTAATGCCTGCTGTGCTAACCAGCCGCAGTGATTCCTTTAAGCTCTTAGCTGTTACTTTGGGGATCCTTTTAGCGCATTGAACAGTGTCCATTTGGTCTCTGGACTGGAGATATCTGTATGATAATCAACATCGATATGGTCATCTTTACAATGATCATCTAGATAATGCTAAACAGTCTGCAGGTACTTTAATTCCCTTCTATCCTAAATCTATTTCTGCCATCTAAATATAACATCTTTAAAGTTTGTATAGCGATACCCTGTGTCCACTGTCTGGACTACTGCGTGGACATAAAATTCCTGTCCTACAGTAACTTAACCAGAATACAAATAGTTGACAGCCAGTTGAATTGAGTCCCCTAAAGTTGTGGTCATTGACAAAGAGTTATTCAGACTGCTGGCAACATGCTGACAATTTATCTGCATTTACAAATGTTACAGCAATTATTTGCAGCCCTTCAACAATCTCTCTGAGAGTGACTACAGTCACTCCAAGTCAGACTTCAACTGTTTGCAGAAAGGTTGCCTCCCATCAGGAAACCTGTGCAATTCCCTTGTGATCGGATGTGGCTTTGCAACAAGCTCAAGCTCTGGGCAACCACTTAGTCACCCAAAGTTACAATCGGTTACATAATGTATAAATTCATTACAATCAAGGGGCAGACACAGATTTTACTTTTGCAGATGCAAGAAGTGTTCGTTTTATCAGCAAATTTTGGTTTTGTTTTAGTTAATGTTTAGACTAAAACATCGATTAGGTTTGGTAATTTATCTAAATTCTTTCAGTTTAGTTTATAAGTCACCTAAAAAGTATAAACTTACAGTATCCTAAATCTAATACCACATGTCAGCACTTCTCTTCCTCCTAAGCGTTGACATTTTGTTGCACTTTATGACGAACAGGAAGCATGAAGGTTACCGTATTTTTCGGACCATAAGGTGCACCGAATTATAAGGCGCACTGTCGATGAATGGCTCTTTTTTTCCATACAAAAGGCGCAAAAAGCAAAACAAAACAGTCAGATAAGTCAAACTTTACTCAACTCATTCTTCTCTTTATGTTATGCTAACATAGCTGTGTCGCTAGCGATCACGTTGCATATCATAATATACCAGCTAGTTCAATTTCAGTAACCCTACAAATGTCACTGCTGTTTAGTTTTCTGTCTTCATTTAAGTTGGAAGTGATAGCCGAGCTGTACGTCTTAATTTTTCCAGAAATCTCTCAGTCAGAACATGGTATATCATGTTTAGGTGGAAACTAGCGAGCTAACTTCCTGCTAACTTCTAACTCCGTTGAATTTAATAAATTCTGTTTTCATGAATGCCTAGATGTTAAATTTAATTGTTACACCTGGTAAAGCAGCAATGCTGATCATTTTATTAAAGATGAAATAATTTAGACAGTTTTAATTCTCAGTGATGCCGCATTATTCGTTTGACTTTGAGACCTGAAGCTGACAGAGTTTTGGACCCAGATTACTCCACGAGGCTCCTGACTATGGTAGCCGTAATGCTCCGACAATCCATCAAGCGGTGCGACTTCATAGCTTACCAAAGTCGTACTAAAACATTTTTTGACAGATTTTTGAGCGTGTACCACAAAATCGGTTCTAGATCAGTAAGCACAACCAGAATTCATACATAAGGTGCACTGGATTATAAGGCACACTGTCAATTTTTGAAGAAAATTAAAGGATTTTAAGTGCGCCATTTAGTGTGGTAAATACGGTAGGTGACCCCCCCCCCCTTTGCAATGCTGTTTGTTGGGCACAGATCAAATTGTGGATGTCCTTGTATATGTGCCAATAGTATGGGCTCAAATTCCTCAAAAAAATAAATATTTTGTACTTCTAAATCAGAATCTGTATGTGTAAAAAGAATTTGTGTGTGTGTAAAAAAAAAGATTTGTGTGTGGACTTAGCCAAAAAATACGTGCTTTTGTCCTCGTGCGTTAGTTTTCATTTATACATAGTCTTGTTTTTGTAAGGAAAAAAAAAGCTTGCTGGCTAAAACTACTGGTGAACGAAATTAAAACTGAATGCAAGGAAGTTGCTGTTCTATTTTCACTCGTGTGACTGAGCCATTCACTTGTTTGGAATTAGGAGGTAGTTTTGCGAAGATAGGTGCGTTGGATGGTTTTTCGGTTGAGATGATTTAATGGAAGTTTACTCGCCAAATGTTATCTAAGGATAGTGGTGCATGAGATGAGCCCTGTTGTTTGTAGTATTCCCAGAGATTTAATAAAATATTGATATTTGTGTCTCTGTGCCAATACAATATCTCCAAACAGAATACTCACAACAATCTTGTGTCAATTTTTACCCCAACCTTACACAATATACAGGTAAAGTCATCAAATCACACAGCGCCGTCACATGGATATGCTCAGAGTTTGGATTTATCTGCTTTTTCACAGCTGAGTAACCTGAGAGCTGAAGAAGGCGATTCCTAGAAAAACATTAACTTCTCTAGTTCTCCCCCTCTAAACCTGGCTGATGGTCACAGTGACTGTCTTTCACTGAGTCGCATATAGCAATACTAACAAGCCAAAGTATACAGACAGAGATAACTCCCCTGTACAGCTAGCAAAATAGTCCCAATGCATGCGTGCAAAGAAGTCTTCTTTTAATCTTTTGACCAACCAAAAAAAGTTGCATGTATCCTTAAATGCCCCTAAAATGTACTTAAATCCATCTACTCTGTTAAACTTAAGCCGTTATATTTTAACCAACTATGGCAAACTGGATGCAAGAGACCTAACTGGATGAGAACGGACGATTGTTTTTCCGCCCTTACAAAAGCTTTCAATAAATGATTTCCATATCCGATCCATGTAATATAGCAGCAGTGACAAAAGTTAATGGTCCAACCAACCAGCATAAAAAGGCTGAGTTGTTACACAAGTAGAAAAAGGAGTCAATCGACTTTATGATAATGAATGAAAAGCACTTTGCTGCTCCATTAAAATCACTCAGCCAACCTGTGTGATTGGAGAACTGCACCGAGTTGATGGAGTCCACTTCAAAGCCCAGCACCTGGGAAGAGAGACATGAAGCAGCTGTTAAAACAGAGAACAATGGGCTCCGTCTTGCACTCTGTCTAAATGAATCTGCACTGCACACTGCACTGCGGGAACAGCACGCTGAAGGTGAACCACTGTGAGAACAAGTCAACATTCAGAGTTTCAAAGTTTCAGCTCCCTCTTTCTGACAGCTTCAACAGTTTTTTCCATTTCACAAAATCGCATGTTTGACAAGAACTTTTGCATAATTTAGTTTCTAAATAGCTCCTTCTGTGGACTGTTGACTCCAGTTATCAAACTTGTTTGATAAGAAGAACAATAAAGTGGATTATAATGTAAGATGATATCACGCAACCACAATTAAATAAGTTACCAGGGAATTCTGATCATTTTTAAGGATGCACTATTGTAAGGGGCAAACACAGACATTAACCAGTGAAAGTGAAGGAGATTATCTGTTTCTTCTTATCAGTTTTGTTAAGACTTTGATTTCAAATAATTCCTATATATTCATATTTCTATTAAATAACAAAAGTTAATTTATTTTCAAATATCAATATAGATCAGATACATTTCCCTAACGTGTTAAATTAGATTTTTTTTAAAAAGATGAAAATGGGAACGCTATAATGTGATGTAATCACTGACAATGAGTGGTATATTAGTAACAATGAGAATCATGCTGGAATATTTCAGCTCCAGTTTAACTAATATTAAACAGCATTTGTTGTTGTATTTTTAGGTTTACAGTCGTTTAGTGGGATTAGGGTTAGGGTTAGGGTGGAAAATGGAAAAAGGGCCTTTGATGTTTCTCAGAAAATGTTACAAAATCTCATAAATCAGGAAGTGTCGCTGTGGACCGGTGCTAGATTTTCTACGTTTTCGTTACAAGTTAGATGCTGTTTCCCTCCCCGTCTCTCTCTCTTTGGACTACAGAGGGTTGTTTGAAACTACCACCTGAACGTTAGATCCGGTTCTTCTTACCTGCAGCGGGAATGTTGCCGACTTGTTCCCAACGTATCCCCTGACAACGTGACTCTGAATGGACAACACGCGACACTCCATTATAGTCGACCTGCGTTTAAAAAAAAACACCTGACTGATTCACTTTACCCTAAAGCAGTATTAAAGACGAGGGCAGACTGAAGCAAGCAGAAACTTAGCATGTGGGGAATAAGTCCCGCTTTGAAGGACAGCAGCTGTGCTGCCGAGTCACATTTACGGCTTTTTTTCTTCAGGCAGCTAGGAGGACTCCTAAGTGGAGCATTCACAGACTCACCAGGAATGTGGGGAAACTGGGTTGCAAACACAAAGGGGGTTCCCGTTGTTGACTGAAGTTTATCAGTGATTATTTTTTGTATGTGATAGGAAAACACCTTTTCCACAAAATAAACGATCGACATAGACATAGATATATTTTAAGACAACTGAAACAGCCACATACAGGCAAAAACAATAAATTTATTTCACAATCTCCAGAGAACATTAATTATATTAATATATACTGATGATTGAAAGCCTACTTAAATTTTGTTCAAAAATTTCAAGAATACAAAAAGAGCCCAGAAAAATCTTGTTTAACATATGTAACATATATGTTCAACATATGGTTGATTGGGGCATATATGAGAAAAATGAATAGTTTTCACTGTCATTTCACTATATTATTATTGTAGGATGTATAATTTGAAAATAGGTTTTGGTTTGAATAATTATGGATAAACTAAGCATACTTTGAATTATTATTTTTATGGTTAAAATAACTAACTTGGTTAATCGGAGGAGGATTTTTAATGGGGGACTACTGGTCTGATTGAATCCTAAGAACAGTTGTAGGAGGATGGGCAGGCAGGTGAGTAGATGAGATCTCAGATGAAGGGGAAGACCAGCTTGACCAGCTCAGGTGGGTTATTCTGGAGAAGGAACCACCCCTCAGTGTGATGGGGAACACTGGAAAACAGAGAAATGTAGAAACGGGAACACTTAAATGAACATGAGGAAGTTAAGGGCCTGATTACCACACTGACATAAAAGACAAGCTGGACAAGAGTGGATGTTAGAGCTGATTTAAATACTGGGTGAAAATGAGCCTTGATGAGCAGCAGGTGTGATGACCAAGCGTGGGAAACAAGGACTCCACCTATAAGCAGACCTTCACCTGCCCAGCCCTATGTAGACTTTGGACAAAGGGAAAAACACAAAACAGCAAACAGACAGGTGGAGGATTATGATGCTAAACTCTGGGTACTAACGGAGGGATCAGAGACACAAACCGCAGAAATGAGCTTCTAAATCGTACCTGGCCTCTCCCTTAAAGAAAGCGTGAGGAATTTGGTTACTCAGGAGGGATTAAGAACAGAGCTGCTACTCCTCCACATCAAAAGAACCAGTTGATGGGATTCAATTATTGGGCTAAGCCTCTTGGAACACCTCCTAAGTGAGGTGTTCCAGGCATGTCCTACCAAGAGGAGACCCCGGGGCATACATGTTGGGGAGATTATATCCTTCAGCTGCTTGGAAACACCTCAGTTTCACCCCGAAGGAGATTGGGGAGGTGGACAGGGAGAGGGCAGTCTGGGCATCTCTGGTTAAATTGCAGCCTCCTAACCTGGACACAGACAAGCAGAAGAAAATGGATAGAGTGATGTCCAACACATAATTGGGGCAATAGCTAAGGTTAAGGTTTGGTGTTTCTGATCCAGAAACAACACCAACACGATGATATCAAATCGTGCGATGGACGGATGGATAGATTTTTATCATTTAATATTCTGTACCATTTATCTAAACTGTGTTTGAGTAAATGAGACAATATCATCTGTGTGCAAGGCTTTGCTAACCATAAAAAAGCTCAATCTTGCAGCCGAAAGTATTCAGTGTGTTCTTTATACTCTATATCAGTGATTTCTAAGCGCAGATTCGAAATTAATGACAAAAATGTTCAAGGACAAGCTGGATTTGTGAGTGAGATACTGCTCTGGAGACTCAGTTTTGACTGGTGACACAATAACCTCAAACCTGGCGCTTCTATATTTCATACTGGCTCACTTTCCAATGTAGTTGTAACTAATGTAATCATGTAGCCTCCATTCTGGGCCATGACATGAGTCATCTAATAAAGCTGGGTACTTTAAACATGTGCAGCTGTGCCATGACAATATCAGCTACTTCCACAGCTGAGGGAGTTATTGTGACGGTGAGGAAGGTCAGGGTTATCGTGTACAGACTGTGAACTGATTATTAAAACCTTGAGTAATGAAGATTCTCAGGAATGAGCACACAATCTTAATTCTCAACGACAAAGCACTTCAGTTTGAGCATGAAAAAAAAAGTATGATATACGTGCTTACATCAGTGATCAAATGTTCTGTTCCAGTCACTGCTGATGCCAAACAATATGCCATTCCTCCCTAGAATATGATGTAACTTTCACTTAACCAGACAGTAGTTAACATCATCAGTATTGTGTAATGTTTTTTTTTAACTTTATGCCAAGAAATCGAACACAAAAAATGCTCCTATCACTCTTCATTTACTCGGTGGGCTACAATGATTGTCTAAAAAGAATCAGACTATCAGACTAGCAGTTAAAGGTCAAAGGTCAAATAAATATATTAACTAATGCAAAGTACCAATGGCTAAATGCTGTGATATAATGTCTTCTATTACCACTGATTTACTCTTATGATCTACAGTAGATTCCATATAACTGAAGTGATGAGAATATTTGCTACCACCAGGGGGCCCAAATCAGCAGAGCTCTGTTTGGTATTTAAATGAATGAACAGGAGATGTTACCTGAAAAATCACAGAAGATGTAAAGCATGTAGTACACTGAAAGAGGAGACTTTAAGTTTATGTATTTTACTTTAGTATATTATCAACACACCCACGCGGGACTCATGAGTGAGTGTTTTCCTAGTTCTGGTCCCAAGCCCAGATAAAGAAAAAGAACGGTATGCAGCGTAAAATCTTTGCCAAATCAAATATGTGGATCAGAAAAGATACAAACAGCTGTGACGACAGAAAAAAAGAGTAATGACACGAGGTAAAGACACAAGATTCAGTCACCGAAATCAGGCCTTATATAATCAAACAAGTCTCACTTTTTAAAGGGATACCTGGGTTTTTGGTCTGTCTTTACCTATTAATGTCTGTTCAAACAACGTACGCCCACAGCTATGACTCCAAGAGATGATAACACACAAAGAAAGCATTGCATGCTTCCGTGCAAGCAGTGGCACAAAGACCATATTGAATCATGTCAGGCTTTTAATGTCTTTTAAACTCCCCCATTAAAAATTAATCAGCAGATGTCAGAGGAGGAGAGAATGGAAGTCTCAGTGAGGAGGGTGAAATCAGGAGGCAGCTGAAGGGTGGACTGCACAGACCACAGAGCACGGAGCGTCCGACATCTGGACGAGGAGCACAGAAGCCAACAGAGAATAGCAGAACCAGGTGGATGAGCGGAAATTGTTAATAAAACGCACACGGGGCAGCGGCAGAGAGAAACTTAAGATACAGCTGGTAATGTTTTTCACTGTTACAGCGAAAAACAGGCGAGCCCATATCTGTAGCATCTGATATAAAATGAGGATTTAACGCCTGAATTTGAGGTTGAAAATCCTTGTTGGTGTCCAGCAGTTAATGAGTGGTTAGTGTGCAGCTTTTAGTGAGAAGAAAAAAGGGCCTGCAGTGGCATGTAGTGATACACCTGGGTGGTATCAGTGTGCTAATGAAGGTGTTCCTGTGTTTGGAGGGAAAGGCATGAAGTTGCATGTCGTGTAAACAGCAGTGGAGGAAGTTTGCCCTTTGAAGTGGAAAAATATTACATTGCAAAAATTCTCCATACAACTAAGTTTTGCATGACGACTTCTAGAAAATAAAGGTACATCAGTATAATAAAGGTATACTTCAGTATTATTATTATATTATTATTAGATGCAGAAAAATGCCTCTTGTAAGTGTTACATTTCAGCTTATTATATATATTCTAAGGCTACTTTACCTAAATATCTAATCAGCCAATTACATGGCAGCAACTCAGTGCATATTGTGGACCTGCTGAAGCTCAACCGAGCATCAGAATGAGGAACAAAAGGCAATTCACGTGACTTTGGATGCAGACTCGTTGTTGGAGCCAGACAAGCTGGTCTGGTTATAACAGAAGCTGTTGATCTGCAGGGATTTTCAAACACAAACATCTCCAGAAGTTACAGAGAATGGTCCAAAAGAAGAGAAAATATCCAGTGAGCGCCAGTCCAATGTGTGAGAATACCTGTTGATTCCAGACATCAGGAGAGAATGTACAAACTGCTTTGAGCTGACAGGAAGGCAACAGCAACGTGAATAATCACTCATCTCTGAAACTATAACAGGTCAAACCTTGAAGCAGATGGGCTCCAGCAGCAGAAAACCACACCGGGTGACACTCCTGTCTGATAAGAACAGGAAAGTGAAGCTACAGTTCACACGGTTTCAACAAAATTGGACAAAATAAGACTGGAAACATGTTGTTTGTTTATTTGATGAGTCTTGATTTCTGCTAAAGCATTCAGATAGTTAGGTAGGAACTCGGCGTAAACAACCTGAAACAACCATGTTGTTTTTATTAACATTAATAATAATAATTAATATATATTTTGGCACACTTTCCACCCAGTATCACCAACTGAGCATTGCCATCCAGAAGGAGAAAGCTCACGCTGGTTTCTTGAACATGACAGTGAGTTTTGCTGTGCTCAAATGGCCTCCACAGTCACCAGATCACAATCCAGCAGAGCAGCACTGGAATGTGGTAAAGATTGGCATCATCGTGCAGCTGATGTTATCGTGTCAATATGCACCAAAATCTCAGAGGAATCTTTCCAGGATTTGTGCCACAAATACTTACGGCAGTTTCAATTTATTTCAGAAAATTGGAACACTATATGAATTAGCAAAGGTATGCTGTAAAAGTAAAAAGGTCAGAAAACTGCAAAACTGTTATCTATTAACACAGCAAGGTTAACTGTTCTTTATTGTAATAATATCTAATCATTAATTAGATTGAATAAAATAAAAACAATCATTGTTTTCTCATTCTTATGCCCTTAATTTCAGCTATTAAGGTTACCTGTTTGTTACTTCGGTGTAAACTGAATTTGAAAAAGGAAGGGAAGGGAGGGGGGCAGTGAAACGATGACAGCAGCTGCTGAAGTTCTTTAATTTGAGCTTGTGAAAAGAGGCCATCACCTGGTCCAGGTAGACAGGACCTTTGGCTGTGTTTCAGCTCTCCCTCACCTGCGTCTTATACCTGTCGTCAGTCGTTACTCATCGTGTCATGCTGGATGTCCAAGGCCATGAAAGGTGATCTAGCCCCCCCAAAGAAAATCTGTACGTGCACCTGAACACAAATGGCCCTATTTCAGCATGTTTCCTGTCTGCAGCCCCTGTAGCAGGTTATCTAGAGTCTTTACCTGGAGAAGGGTCACCCTGGCAACCACTAAAAGGATACCCAGTTCTTAAAAATAAAAATAGCTTTAATCCTAAACTTTAATTTAATTTAGTTTCTTTGGTGTTTAACATGTAGCTAAGGAGGAGGCGTCGTTCCCACCTTCCCAAGGCGAACTCGTAATCGGATATCAGGAGTGGGTGTCATTATTTTGAAGTGGAAAATATCTATTTGGCGCTCATGGGCACGGAGATTAAAATTGTGTTCAGAGACACTAAAACAAGCGGGGTAAATCCGTGTCCCAAAACACGAATCGATAAATACGATTGGCCAATATCCCTCCGCCCCGCTCAGCACGCACACACACACATAAATGTGCAAGTAGTCCCGCCTGTGACACGCCAAGCAGGAGGGGGCGGAGCCAAGCATGAGCTAGACTGACACGTAAGAGTCCTGCGTAAAATTAAAGGAAGAAGCTGCATCTTTTCCTCAAGTTGTCTCTGGATGCTCCACTTCGATGAAGAGTCGAGCTGTCCCAGTCCAGAGGCCTGTTTGGACGCCTTGAAAGCGACCGAAGCGGGACTGCCGGACAGAGAGATCCGACGCTCAAGATGAGATTTTCGTTGTTAATTTCTGTGCTGCGGTCGCTCGGCCCGGTGGTGATCGGTATTTCTTTAGGCTTCACGCTGAGTTTACTGAGCGTGAGCTGGTCGGAAGACGCGTGTTCTCCGGACAGTAAGGAAGGGGAGGCTGTGTCTTTAGGTAAGGATGGACTGCTCAAAGGAGCCCGAAAGCCCAACTCTATTTCTGCTGTCAACGATGTGACGTCCGAAGAGGATTTTCAACCAAGAATAGTCCCGTACAAACAGATCCAGCCGAGCGCCCCAAAGAAAGTTTTCAGGTAACTTGTGTTTGTTGGTTCACTTTGACTGGGAGAGCACAGCCTGACAGCACGTTGCTATACACTACAGCACAGCAGGCCGCTGTGTAGATCATCCCCTCTAATGATGACTGGTCTCTGATGGTCATGATTATGATGATGTTGAAATCACTCATTGTGTGACTTCACATCATAACGCCTGCGCTGGTAACGTGGCCAGGTGTCCTACTTTCTGTGCACACCATTGTTCCTGTGTCCCATAAGTGGAGACAAAGATCTAGGTTTGGTTGGCGCAAGTTTACAGGCTCAAGTAAAGTGAGGACAAGATGCCTCACAAGAGACGTGCACATCTGTAGATGCGCACCAAACATGATTAAGAGGCAGAAAAGCTGCTGAAATTGCAGGTTTAACAGTTACTTCAATGGAGAAATGTGATTACAGGAGTTTGCAAAGAGTGTTAATTAGTGAGGGAGCTGAGAAAATTGCATTCAAAGACTTTTTTTTTTTTTTACACATTCAGTCACTAATTCTCATGTAGCTATACGATTATAATTGAGTATCCTCATCATTGAAGCTAATAAGACAGCCAGTGGTAGCCACAGCTGATTCAGAGCCTGTTTCCTTCTAACAACGTGAAGTCTGCACCACTTCCTCTGCTGTTTTCCAGTGTAACCCTGGCCAGAGTAGAGCTAGTTTTTTTTTCTGTGCTACAGTATGCCTCCAAACTTGCATTTTTTTTCCCCTCTCTGAGTAAAGACCTTATTTAAGTGCTGGCCTCTGCACCCACAGTGGCTGAATTTCAGTTCAATTCCAAGAAAGGGTCTTTCCTCGTAAAGAAGTTCTGCTGAGGCTACAGATGAAAACGTGCAATTGCCGAGGTTTCAGAGGCAGCTTATGCCAAACGTTGGTTTGTTCAGTAAAGGGTGGTGCATCTTATAATTGTTCTTATGAATTATGCCTAACCCTAATCCCAATGAAGCTAAATGTGGGGCTAAAGGAAGTAGGCTTTCCCAGATCAGGTTGATACTGTCTTTTATAGCCATTGTTATTACAGACTCTGTTCCGTCTGGTAATCCTCAGTTTTCAGTTGCATCCTAACTTTTGTAAACTTGAGCCAATTAAGATGTGAACCACTGTCTTATAATGTAGAGTAGGGTGTGAGACTCCTGAGGACTGTACTACCAAGCAGGATTTTGACTTATCAAGGTAACTTTGGTGTTAACCCAGGTTGGTCTGTACTATTAAGGTGGTTCACTTTTTACCAAGGTTCATTGCTATGGTAACTTAAGCTGTGAACCTTGCACATTAAAGATCAGCAAGTACAAAGTCGCCACCTCCTGACCAATCAGGTTTTCTGAAAATAGCGCCAGCCTTCTTGGAAGATATCTAACCTTGATAACAGGAGGGTATAAAGTTATAAAGTTTGTTTTTAATGGCTCCAGTTTGACTTTGTTTTCCTGAAGAGTCAGTAAGAAAACTTCTAGGTTCAGTTGTCCTTGCCATGTTTTCTCTGTTGGGTGCAAACGATTTTACAACAGTTTTGTTGTTCTGCAAACATGAATACCAAAATCGGGAAACCTGTTTGTACTTGTGCGCTCTCTATCAATTGCATTTAGACAAAACCTACATTTTAAATCAGTTCTTTGTATCAATTCTTTACTGTTATCCATCATCAAGCTGGAGCTGAAAGAATAAAAACCAAAACTGTCCTATGCAAATTTAAACATTCATTTAATGGAATACTCGTTTATACCTCATCCTTAATGATATAGTCTGTTAACTCACACAACTTGTATTGTTGCAAGCTTTTCTTTCTGTCTTTAAACAGGCTTAACTTTGTTAATATAGTAGGTCTCTTCCAGTCTCACGGACCAAAACATTTAATGAAATCATGTATCACTTATAACACTAAACTACTGCACGGTCCTTTTCCTCTCACACTGCAGCAGCTGTTCATTCCGTTATATCTGTGTAAGCTATTCATATTTTCCTAATATCATAGTTTACTCTTTCTTTGCGAAATCAGCTTCCAGTAAAATAATCAGTGTGACAGGTCAGATGTTGCCAAAAACCCCTTTTTCATGTGAACACGCTGATATCTAGATTAGGAAACTCTGGGTTAACTTAGTGAGTTGATAACCAGCTTTGTGTGACTGCTTATCTCAATCACCAGTGTTATGTTAAATTAGTCCAGATAACAGAAAGATACCCTGGGGATTTTGAACTCGCTTCACGGTACAGGCCCAGGTCACCGATATCCAGAGCTCATGTAGATGTTCTCACATATACTCTTTGTCCAACCGAGAGTTCAAAATGCAAATATTTAATGTGGGACCACACATGTGAAGAGAACAGCTGCAAATTCTCTTGGGGGAAAAATGTTGTTTAAAATTTGTTCCACTGTCTTGAGTGATCTATTGACCAACAGTTGCAGCTCTAACAACAGGCCATTATTAATGCTATGTGGAGCATAACAAGGAAATGAAAATCAGTTTGGCGTTGTGGTAAATGATGAAACACAATGCAAGTTCTTACATGTTTACTTTTCCGAAGAACATTAGTTGTTACTTGTGTGTCAAGATATTTAAATCATCTAATCAACAAACTCTGTTTTGGTGTTTTCTGTTAAGATGGAAATATTGCGAAAGCCTGACTGGACACTGATGTTTAGAGGATCTTCTTGCAGATTTGAAAGGGGAAGGAAAAAAAAAATTAGTCAGAAATGCTGTAAAGTCATCAGGCAGTCCAGTGTGATTCTCTTTTGAGACTTACAATCCACCACTATAGGTCACTACATCATGTCTGTTTAGTCCTTGTTTTCTCTAATGATTTAATAATTTCTAGATGTTTAATGAGCTGAACAATAAATTACAAGACTCTACAACAGTTTTTGAGCCACACCTCAATAGTTTGCTTTACTTCAAAGGAGTCTGACATTCTTGACATTTTTTTTAACTGATTTTGAGCAATAGTTCTCAAGGCGTTCTGAAGGTCTTTTAAATGTTTCATTTGAACATTGAATGTGAATTAACGAGCAGTTAATCTGATCTTCGTACTTGAGCATTTTTCAGAGCAATGTTATTTTTGTTTGTTAAGCCACTTGACACTGACCTATGGCATTCATTCATTCATTCATTCATTCATTCAAGAATAAAAGACACCAAAACCAGTCTTGTGCCTGCACATAACAGACAACTTGGCGCATAACCAATTTTAAATTATATCTTTAGACACCAAATTTGTTTAGTTAAATTTATTTAAAAAGAACAACAAGGTGATTCCCAAAGAGTCATTACACAGTACTTTACATATGCGAAATAATATATTATGATATAAGATCTATTTAGATCATTAGTTCTTTTGTTGGCAGTTTTCATTCAAAGCAGCATCGACTCAGTCACCGTTTGACATCTCTTTCAGGGCCAAGTACATCAGCACGGAGTTGGGGATGCGGGAGCGTCTGTTCGTCGGGGTCATGACCTCCAAAAACACCATTAACACCTTAGGTGTAGCTGTGAATCGAACCATCAGCCATCATCTGGACGCTGTGATCTTCTTTACTGGTTCGCGCAGCCGCAAAATCCCTCACGGCATGTTTGTGGTTTCTCATGGAGACGAGAGGCTGATATGGAACATGTTCCAGACCATCAAATACATTTTCGACCATTACATCAATGAATACGACTGGTTCTACTTTGTCCAAGATGACGCCTACACTGAAGCCGGCCGGATCAAAGCACTGGTGGAGCACTTGAGTATGGATCGAGAACTTTACATGGGCAGGCCTGAGGAGTTCATAGGTGGGGCGATGGAAGGGAGGTACTGCTATGGAGGGTTTGGGTACCTGCTGTCACGTAGCTTGCTGCTACGACTCCAGCCCTTCCTGGAAAATTGTAGGAACGACATCCTGAGCGCCCGGCCTGATGAGTGGCTTGGACGATGCATCATTGATTACACCAGCATAAACTGCGTTGGCGAATATGAGGTAGGTTGAGAAGTGGATTTAGAATCCTATGACCCTATAGACTTCTATGCAATAGGACATACTGACAGCCAGAAAAGTCGCTGTCTGCTGGCTTTCCGAAGTAATGCAGGTTTAAAGCACTTAAATCTACGTTTGGGACACAGAAACTTTTATACAGTCTTTGAAAGACCAAACACCTTTTTAATAGTGCATTTATTTGTGTATCAAACCATAAAGAAGACTTGCACAAAGTCTTTCATTCAGAACAGCCATGTGATAGGTCATAGCAGTTATTTTAAAAAACTTTTTAGTTTTTTTTAGTTTAGCCCTCACAGTACAAATCATGCTTTGCCTCTGGGAAAGCACTTAAAGCTGATGGACAGCTAGCTATATAAAACTGTAATTACCATGCAAGTACAGAGATGGTATTTGTGTTACAGAGTGGTTTGCTAATACCCTTTAGCCTTGCATTTTTTGCATCTCCAGCAGCACTGTGGAATAAGCAAACAGGCAAAGAAAGCACAGCTCACAGTTCAGCTTAGATTCAATGGCGTGAAAATCCCCTGTGGGTCAACATGCTCTGCGCCTGTAATGTCATTAACATTTAAGGTCAAACAAGCTCTGTCTGACCACCCTTTAGGCGATTGGTTGTGTCATTCAGGAAGTCTGCTTCACCCATACTAAAGTTTTGGTTTTGTTTGTATTATTTTCCATACATGTAAAAATCTTTTTAGCTTCTATTTACCCTTACTTGGCCTTCCCCCAAAGCAGGAAACCATCTTGTACCATAGCTGAGAGTGAATAACTTGGCTATCTTAAGTGCCCTGAGCCAGAATAGCTCCACCAGAGTCCCCTCACACTCCCACACCCCCAAGATAAGGGGAGAAACAGAGGCAAGCTAAAAGGCCTCAAATGGCTAAAGAAAATAGCTTGAACACAGACCCAGGCATTTTTTTTTTCTGCTAAGAAAGAGAACACTGGTGACAATTAGGCTTCACTAAGTCTTCAGCTACAGGGTGTAAGTTGGCAAACATTTCCAACAGAATTGCTTCACTGCTCAGTTAAGCATTGTCTCTGTTCTTTGTTCTTTTAATAGCTTGATCAGATTGGGTTCACTTTTTTTAATCACTCAAGCTCCTTAGGTGGTTACTTTGTTTTCAGCTTAAGTGACCATGTCTGTAAGTGGGATTCTGCCGCCTGTGTCAGTCACTTCTGTTAGTTTCCTCCTTTTTTTTTTCTCCTCCTTCAAGCCTGTTACTAAAGTGAGAGACACCGTTAAGAGTGCCCAAAATAAACACATCCCTAAAAATGACCAAAAGTCTAACTGTAAAAATCTCCAGTTATAAACCGTCTTGTTTTATTTAAACGAAAAAAAAAAAGAATCTGTCTACAGTTCACTGTGCAATTATGGTCAGCCTTGCAGCAGAGACGAGCACAAGATGCTGCCTGGATGGCATGTAATGTTTGTTTGAATGAAAGCAGCGCTGCATAACAGCTGACAGCTTGGAATAACAATAGGCGTGTTTGTGTCGTCGCACCTCATGAAAGGACCTGTGTGATTCCTTTCAGGGACTTCACTACCACCATTATGAGTTGGCAAAAAACTCTGATCCAAGCAAAGAACAGAGTGAAGAGTTTAAGAAAGCCCTGACCGTCCATCCAGTGTCTGACCCGGAGCAGATGTACCGCCTGCACAGATTCTTCACTGAGATTGAACTCCAGAAGACTTATGATGAGATTGCTAAGCTGCAGGTAAGCTGATTTTCAAGTGTCGCAAATCACCCATGGATCAGTCACAAATAAAAACCTGCCTGCTCGCCTCCATTGTTGGCACAAAAATACCACAATTTCAGTGTAGTACGAGCTGGGTTAAATGTGTCTATTTTAACACTTATTGTGTTTCCACAGGCAGAAATAAAGAATGTGAGTGTTGTTGCTTTTGAGGGGAATCGAAGCGCCCAGTGGCCAGTGGGGATCAATCCTCCTTTTGAACCAAAGTCTCGGTTTGAAGTTCTGAAATGGGAATACTTCACAGAGGAGGAGATTTATTCGTGCATTGATGGCTCACCCAAGTGCGAGTTGCGCGGCATTGACCGCATGGACGTGGCGGATGTCATTGACACCGCCATAGGAGAGCTGAACAAGAAGTACATGCCCATTATACACTTAAAGAAGCAGCAACTGATTAATGGCTACAGACGCTTTGACCCCATTAGGGGGATGGAGTACACCTTAGACCTTCAGCTGGAGGCTGTTAATCAGAAAGGTCACAGCCGCTCCATCACAAAGAGGGTTCATCTGGTGCGACCTTTGAGCCAGATAGAGATCATTCCCATGCCATATGTCACTGAAGCTACAAGGGTCCACATTATTATACCGCTTACTCTGCAGGACCGGAGCTACGTCGATCACTTTCTTGAAGTCTTTGCCTCGAATGCCTTTGAGACCAGCGAAAATGCAATCCTAACCTTCTTGTTTATTTATGACCCAGTGGAGGCCCAACAAGTTAGCCAGAATGATATATTTGCCAGCGTGAAGTCTCAGATAACCGTTTATGAACGCAAATACCCTGCAGTTAAAATCCCGTGGATCAGTGTTAAGACGGAAACGCCATCCCAGATCAAATTCATGGACATCATCTCAAAGAAGCACCCCGTCGACACGCTCTTCTTCCTGGCTGAAGTCAACACAAACATCAATTCGGAGTTTCTGAATCGCTGTCGCATGAATGCCATTAACAATTGGCAAGTATTCTTCCCCATTCATTTTCAGGAGTACAACCCCGACGTGGCTTATCACAACCAGCCACATCCAGACACACTTGATCTGGTCAAGGACGCGGGCCTTTTTGACCGCAGGTCGTTTGATGAAACGTGCTTCTACAACTCGGACTACATGACGACGCGCAGTCGGATGGTGGCGGACGTCCAAGAAAACGAGGAGATTCTAGAGAACATGGATATCTACGAAATGTTCGTAAAGTATTCAGGTCTGCACGTATTCAGGGCAATAGAGCCAGCGTTACGCCAGCAATACCTTTATGAAGTCTGCAACCCAAGACTCAGTGAGGACATCTATCACAGATGTGTTCAGAGCAACTTGGAGAGCATCGGTTCTCGCTCCCAACTTGCCATGCTGCTTTTTGAGCAAGAGCACGGAAACAGCACTTAAAAATAGCAGTGAAACCTGTGCTCCTGCACGTTCGCTAAAAAAGTCTCGAGGCTTGAATTTAGGGTGAAGAGGGCAACCGTTGTGCCACCACCCATCGCTTAAACTTTTTACCAAGTACAACTCCTGCTTAGGGGTGTAGGTGACTTTTAGTCACCAAGTCAGGTAACACAAGTGATTGTCTCTGTCTTCCTGTGTGCATTAAGGGCAGTTTGGATATATATAAGTGCAGTACACTCCCAATAAAACCTTTTCACATAGTTTTAATGATTGCGTCAAGCAGGCTTTGACCACTAGAGGGCAGAAACTTTGCAGTATTGACTTGATTGTTATGATTCAGACGTCCAATGCATTCAGTGGGATTTATAACCTTGATTTTGGTTCGCAACACTTGGATGTAATGCTTGTGCTTTTGACTATTTTGAATACAACAGGCATGATTGAGCTGATGTACTGGCTGCAGCTGCTCAACTAAACGAACCAAAACAAGTTGCAAAAACTTTTAGTATGTTGTTGCTTTTTCAGTGGGAATGTCCTTTAATTTAATGTCGATATCAAAGGTATTTTAAAGCGGAGCTGTCTATTTTTTTTTTTTTTTTTTTTTTTTTTACTGGTAACCTATGTGTCCCTTCACAAGGGGGCACTGAAGTGTTGCACTTTGGTAAATACTCAAATCAGTAAATATCAAAAGTGCATATTTGCATATGTGCCTTGACAAAAATGACTCCACGAGGTATTGTACATCTATATATTTTTTTAGATTTATGAATAAAATCAATAACGCTTTGGATAAATGGGAGGTGTTACCTTTCACTGTGCATGAAGCCTGATACAGCGGTGGTTATCGCAGAAATGTCAGACCACCAGCTATCCACAGGCTGCACATGTGCCTCAAAGCAGGGAATGGAGCTTCTGAGAAATTGCTGCTGGAACTTTTATATAATAGATACAAACCTTTATTTTTATGTAGGCCAGCATTGTGTTTTTAAGTTATTCAGAGGTTGTCTACTTGTAAGTTTTCCAAGAAAACTTGCTTGCATGAGGCAGTAGATGAGGGCGAGGGCTCATTATTAAATGCTTGTAGCGATTGCTCAGATTTTTCAAGAGTCCCTTTTGAAATGTACGGTACTTTTTAAATTAGAATTGAATTAGTTTAGTAACAGCTGAAATAAAGAATGTATGAAGACATTTCACCAGGTGTAGGCAGTCTGAGAACTCCAAAAGAAACTGTTTTTGTTTTGCTTTTTTTTAAAGAATTTCAACTGTGTTGTTAAGATATTGTAAGTCACTGGTTGGCATCATTGTCCTCCCATGCGGTGTGCTCAGTTACACAAATGGCTGCTTTCTCCCAGTTGTAACGCTGCCCAATGGGGGTCTTTTCTGGTGGAGGTAGCGGTACTGGACACCATAATGTCATTGAGTATATTATAATGTGCAATATTACAGATAACACAGCTGAATATGTCTGATGGAGGACTTTTCATTCGAAAGCAGTGTGTATATCAAAAATACTGTACGTGACTCATTCTTTCTGTTTGATACGAAGTAAATACACTGTAATTTCTTATGACAAGACCTTTTAATGTATTTTCTCTGACACTAGACACTTTTCATCATCCGGTTTACTTGGAAATACATAAAATCAAGGCAAGTCCTGTTATTTAACTGTAATTGGATTTGATGTATATGTTGGAAACACTACATCCACTTTGGTGGTCCTGAAAGGTGTTTTCTGTATTGTCTGCCATGTGAACATTTTATTTTTCCTTGACGCGTCTTTTTTCAAGATGAGTCTTTCTTTTTACCATTACGGTGCACCAGCTTGTATGAATGTTTGTCTCAATCCTTTGAAGAGTACGATGCTAATAATGTGCATAATTGAAAATATAATCTGTGAAAGATTGCTGAAAGTGCTGAGATTACAATATGAAGTTATTGTGGTGATCTGCGTCGTCTTTGCCTTCTGCAGACGCGAATTAAAGGAGCGGGCAGATTAATTATCACATCCGTCATCGCCGAGCGCAGTCTCTTAAGTATTTTGTCCATAATTTATTCAATCTGTCATATCTCCTAAATTATGCATCTTCTAAACACTTCAGCGCTAACAGAGGCTTCCATGACATTTTCTGTGCATCTATAAATATTTTATAGACACTCTATTTTTAAACTTTTTTTTTTTTAAGCTTTATTTACACTCCAGTTTCTATTGTATTATTTTGTGACGGAATCAAGTATCTGCTTTGTCCTTTTGCTTTCAAACAGAAACAAAATTCACTTTGGATCAAGCAAATTATTTAAAATAAAACATTTTTTTTCTTTAAAATTTTCCATTGCTGATTGAACCTGTTGGTTTAGTGTTCAGTGCACGTGGGTACTTGTAAAACCAAAGCAATACTTTTCAATTTAAAGTTCATCACATCCAAATGTGTGCTGTAATTACCAATAAGCTGTGAATTGTAATTTTATTTGTTTTTGTTTTTTTTAAATAAAGGATGTTTAAATATGACATTTTGTCCTTTTGTTGTCTGGATTGCTGTGATATAACATGGTTGGCAATGCAGGAACAGAATCCTTTTTGTCCTTTAGGTGTCAGCAGAAGAATGCGTTTGCTGTCAGCAGCGCAGGTCCCAGACCAGTAATGGCTACTGGTCGCTACAAGCAGAGGATTGAACGTGTAGAAATCACATTTCTAATACGAAGAAGACTGTTTTAATCTCACAGAAATAAGCAACATTTTCTCAGCAATATTGCTGCCCACGTTAGAACTTGGGTATTCCTGATGTCTGGGTTGGGTAAAAACAGGGAAAACGGCGCAACCTTAATTACAGCTTTAGTTATTTCAAGGGTCTATATGTACTGCCCCGAGGCATGCTGTAAAACCGCATAACTACAGAGCAGCTGTGAGTTAATTGTAAGCCATTATTTTGTACTTTATTTTATGTTCAATCCCAGGACTTTCTCCTGTCGTGTGAGGACAAGGTTGTTTTAAGTCCTCCAGAAAGCAGTAAAAAAATTAAAAAAATTAAACCATCAAAAAAAACCCCCAAACAATTCACCTTTTAACAAGCAGAATAACACATTTTTTACCATCTCTATCAATAATCCTGCTCTCATCTTGTAGGAGCTAGCCTTCGAGATGTCTTTATGCAACCTTAAAGGTCATTCAAAAGGAAATAAAAATGGCCAGAGTCTGAATTGCTATTCAATGGTGTGGTTTGTAGGGGAATAAAAAGACGGCATACAGTGAAATGGGATTTAAGAGGCACTGGTTTTTATCTAAACTTTAATATTCATTGTATTTACCATATTTAACATTTATAAAATGTGTTCTAACAGAAGAAATAATCACAAGATCACACTTATATACAAAATGTAAGCGTTCCTTGTCACTGCAGGGATAGTCCATTTCCATTTCTGTCAGATATAGGATGAAATTTCTCCTTTTGAATTCCTGACAGCTCCTTGCATCACCCTGCACTTATATTTTTCTCCGAGGCCTCAGCTGAAAAAAATAAAATAAAATGAGCAGGAAAATGGCAGATATTCAAAACCTAACATCTGTGGCTAGTGAGATTACATTAATTTTTATGGGTAATGCAGCAAGCACATACAGGCTGATTGGTAGTTTAAGCTTTTAAAAACATAGGTAGGTCCCCTATGTAAAGGGAGCTCGGAGTAGGAATCCCAGGAATGTGAGCTACATGTTGTTAAGAAGGGAAGTTGTCCCGTCTGCTACAGCACAGACCTGCCGCCCACCGTGTGGTCATGTGGCACCTCACACAGGCTGCTGCTGCTGTAAAGTTATCTGTGTTTTTTGACGAATGCAGAATTATCTGAAGTTGTGTTTTGCAGTGAACCTAAACACACTGTCTTCAGGATTAAAAAAGCCTTTCCACATCCACTTTAGGCTTTTCCGTTTAAATAAAACTCTACAGTAATAAAGCAGCCCTGTATTCATCTCAACACACCAACCCCTGTGTGACTTCTCTGAGGATAGCTACAATTATTGATGACAGAGGAGAAGATTGTTATGCATAGCCTGTACAGGATGCCATCAGAGACTCAGATTGGGAACCTTTTGAAAATGTCAAAGTGACACATGATTATGAATATTAAACAGCCATGTATAGCCCATGATTACTTGAAAGGAGGAGGGGATTTGGCAGATGGAGACTGGAATCTCACTGTGAGCCAAAGTGATGTATGGTAATATTGCGGCAACAGAATACACCTATCAAATTAACGGGAAAAATGATGTTGTCATTTGTTAACATGAAATTCTGTATCGTGTAAGGTATTCTTGCATTTCTCAGACACTGGAGTGTCTGCCACCTTCTGTGTAGGAACGAATTTGGTTCACACTCTGCACCAGCGCATTGCGTGATACCTATTCTGACACGTGTAAGTCCAAACTACAGCTTGAGAGCACACATCTGCAAAAACCTCACTCAAGATTAAAGGTGCTTGTGATATAAAACATGCAGTCCCATGTCACCGATCTGGATTAGCATATACGCTGACCTTTCTAAAATTTCTTAGAGGCTTGTACTAGCAAAGCATACAAAAACTTGTATCAGTCCTGAATAATTCTCTCTTTTGGGTGTAACAGAATGCAATTAATTTGCAAAAGAAAATAATGAGGAGCTCACAGCTAGTCTTTACCGGCTACTGGGTAACCTCATGTACAGCCCCCACTACTCTACTGCAGGAACTTAAGCAAAACAACAATCTAATCCCCCCGGTTGTTTTCTTCTCTTATTATAATGAACTAAAAGCAAATTCCAGCCTTTAGGATTTGCTAAAGTAAACGAAACACAGATTTCTTTGTCACAAGATAAAAAAGTGTGAGCAGCATCTGCCATCTTACTACTACAAATATTTCAAGAAAGAACTGGATATTTCTGTTCAAAATCACACTCGAGCTCCTATTTAACCATTAAAAACAAAGCACAGACACACGGCCAAACAGATGAAACGTCTGACTATGATGTGGCTGACAGCACAGGACCCCATTCTGGTTGAGTTGGTCCTACTAGTTCCCTGAAACAAAAATCCATATCGGCAATGCTTCAAAGGTTGTCCATCCCATCTCTGCTATCATAAACAATAATCTACTTTAGGTTATACGATAAAACATAGACAATGCTGTTGTAAGTTCCAGTTTCTTATTTGAAAAGAATGGTGCAAGAAAGAGCCTTAAATCAAATATGCATTTCTAGGTGGCTAAGGGAAGTCTGGTAAGTTCCTGCAGTGGAAAAAAAGAGACTAGTCGTGAATCAATGAATCAGTTTATATTTCCCTTTGCTTACTTGTGCTCTTAAAAATTTGTGTTGTCCTCTGTCCTTTTTTACATAAACCAATAAGAATATATCCGGCTCTGCCACAGTACCTGTTTACGTTGCTGCCACATCTGCATCTCCAGAGGTGGCTTCAGCTGATAAAACCTTCCCGCCGCAGTAATACTCTTCCAGCTTTTTGATTGTAATCCCTCCTTTTTTCATGGATCAGCTCATCTGAGCTGTGTCAGTCTAATGTGCTCAGTCATGTGTGCAAAATGTTAAAGTGCGCATGCAAACACA